TACCGATGTGCTGGGAAGAGGCAGCAGAGGACGAAATATCTGAAATTCACGTCTTAAAAGGAATGGGTGAAGGAGGTCTGGCTAGTTTGCATAGAAAAACAGAAGATTAAAGGAAAAAATAAAGGCAGGTAGATTCTGTATCAGTATAAGGAATCCCTTTCTTGCAATTAGAGCTACCCAATGATGAAAGGGAGGTTTATGTGTAGTTTTAATCACAGACTGACAGTGTGGCATGGGGAAGCTTCCTATGGAGTAGGAGATTGACCTATGGGCTCTTCCCTGGTCTTTATGTCTTAATTTTTCTTTTTTTCATCAAAGGATAAAATGGTTTTAAATGAAGAGTAAAAAACGTCTGAGTCACAGATATACTGCCAAATTTCTTTTTGTTCTTGGGCAGGTCATTTATCTTCTCTGGGTCTAAGTTTGTCATGTACGAAACATGGCCTGGAGTTTTTAAGGTCTATTTTAGTTCTAATGTTCTCTGACCATACAAATGTAGACATACTGAGTCAAACTCTAAGTCTGCTCATGATGAGGATCATTACAATTGTAGAGCTGGAAAGCATTTAGAACTGGAAAGCAATTAGTCAATCCCTACACAAGATGTTAGATTATTCATTTTACTATTCTTATACAGACTTGCTAGTAAACCATTTTAATGTCTTTCTTTTAGATACTATATAACATAGTAGTTTTAGTTGTTACCTCTGAATGAAAAATGTAACTCTCTCAACCGGAAATGCTCAGAGAAGATCCTGCTGAGCATTCTTTTTTCTTCTTCTTCTTCTCCCCAAATCCCCCCAGTACTTAGTTGTATATTCTAGTTGTAGGTCCTTCTGGTTATGCTATGTGGGACGCCACCTCAGCATGGCGCATGGCCTGATGAGCGGTGCCATGTTCGCGCCCAGGATCCGAACTGGTGAAGCCCTGGACCGTGGAAGCAGAGCATGCGAACTTAACACTCGGCCACAGGGCCGGTGGCTGCTGAGCTTTCTTCCTCTGGCCATACAGTCTGCATACCCAATTAACCTCCCCTTAATTAGATTAACTTGTTCTTTACCAGAAATTGTCAAATTAATACTGCAATCAAAAATCTCTAATAGAGACCCGAATATGTCCCTGCTATGTATAATGTTAATTACTTCTTTACTAAAAATAACTCAAACCAGGCTCACTTAATGGGATGCCTTAGTTAGGAGATCTGGTTTATTTCTCTAAAACAGTGTTGCTCAGAACTTTATAAGTAATTCTTAAAATCACCTAAAGAAATCTTAGTATTTCCAACTTTCTTAATTAATTAGATTCTAGAAATTAACTAAAATTCAGGAAGGTTACTCCTCATTATATGAAAATATTTACAGGCATTGGCATTGGTCCTTATATTAAAATATGGTACTGTGTAGCAAATAATCAAATGTTATCATTCACAAGAAACTAAATTCCACTTGCCAAAATAAGCAAAGCACTTGGCTATAGAATCCACAGTAATATTATGTTCACCATGCATATTTGTGAATTTCCACATTTAGACATTTAACAGTTTCTGGCTAGCATTAGCTTGATCCAATTAGAAAAAGTGACACTGACAATTGCGTGAAGAAGAAAGCTCATTTAACCAAATTGACTAAACTTGGTCAATGACCCTAGAGCAGAAGGTTTTGAAATTTTAATTACAGAATAGTATAGTCATCATTAACAGTATCTTAGATATCCCAAAATGTTCTCAATCAGTAATTTATTAAATGTTCATCGAGTCAAGGCACTCTTTTAGATATTGTGAGGGCTATTAAAGATGAATAAGACGACATAGACCCTCCTTTCCAAAGGTTCACGATCTAGAGACTTAAGGAGGAACTGGCAAAAGAGTGGAAGCCTCATGATTCTGCCATCTAGTTACAGGGTTTTGGTTCTCTTAACTCAAAGCAATCAGGATGATTTCAAGACATAGTGGCGGTGGTTGTCTCTGGAGTTCCACGGGGTTAGAATTCTGATGCTAGTACTACTTGTGTGACTTTGGGTAAGATACTTTAGTTTCTCCAGTTCTCAGGTCCCTCATCCTAACATGGAGATAATTAAAGTACAGACCTCAGAGGTTTACTGTGACAAGAGAATAAGAGATGAGTGCAATGTGCTTTGCACATAATATGCATATCAAAAATAAAGGTTGAATATATTTAAGGGATGAAGGCTTTATTAAATAAGAAAGCTGTCTTTCCTTTGGCAAGATTAAAAAGTTCCATATTTTGTAATGTGTTAGAGTTATATGCTTACATTTAAGCCTGATTATATAACATTCATGGACTACAAAGGGAAAGAAAAATTTCTAATGCAATGCCCTAAAGCAACACTGCTAGTGAGCTTGTGATCTTAGATAAATGGAGAAGACAATTTGGGAAATACTGATCAAATATAATGCCTGAAATAAAGAGTGCTAGCCTTCACCCAATTGTTTGACAAAACGTCTTATATTTTTGCAGACAATATGGAGAAGGCAGGATTAGAAAGAACTAGGTAAATTTGTTAAGGGGCGGAACAGCCCCTAAAAAGACATTAGAATGTGTAAAATATTAATCTGAAAAAAATACTTGGAATATTGAATATGTAAAATATTAATCTGAAAAATATACTCTGGCTCAGAGTGCTGTCTTTAGTAGAGTGGAAATATTATAAGATTTAAAGGTCAGAAAGTTTGGAGTTTGGATTCTAGCTCTAATTGTTTTTAGCCATGAAAGATTTTTACCTGCTTGACCACCAGTTTAAAGAAGAGGCTATGAGGATAACATGTAAAGCCCGTCACTTCATGTTTGGCACATCTTAAGGGCTCGATAAATCATATCAATGATAATCATTGTTATTTTTACCTCCATTTCATTTCTGTGATGAGATGAAGATAATTACAGTGTTTCGTTTCCACTTTTTACTCATCTTGGAGATACAGGAATACCAAGAAACCATTTGATCTGCATTTTATAGAAGAGGTAGTTGTTTATGCTCTTTCTGACCATGAGACACTATGTTTCTGTGATTCAAGTATCTATCCTATCTCCAGAAGGTGAACTTCTAAAATTTATTGCCTACTTCCACTTTCAAACACGCCTATATGTGGGCAGATAAGTTCCTGATACTCCAAGATTGAATGAAAATAACGTGATTAACATCTATAGGCTAACCCATATAACCACTACAATATGTCAGGTACTGTTCTAAAGCACTTTTCATATATGAAATTTAATCTTCACAACAGCCATAAGCAGTAGGTTCTATTATCTCCATTTTACAGATAAGAAATGTCAAATACACGTATTTGAATAGATTGCCTAAAATCAAACAGCTAGTAAGGAGCAGAGAATCTAGGCAAGTCTAGGTTAGGATCAATGCAATTTTCCCCTTAGAATAGAATTGATTGGTTCTGAAGAAGCAATGTCATAATTGGAAGTATATTTGAAATATTTCTATTGGCACTAGATCAGACAGCAATAGAACTTAAAAGAAAATAAGAACATCATTTCTATTATTAGTTCTATGGGAACTAATAAGTACTTCGGATTCCCAAACAACTGGTTTTTAAATTAACTCTGGAACATAATGTGCTCAGAAAATGGGAACTGATTCTATACAAATTGCTGAACCATAAAGCAGAATGATTAGTATCATAAGAGAGTTATGAACAAAGGCACATAGGAGTTCAGAAGAAAAAGACATCATTCTGACTGTGGGTATCCAAGAAAGCTTTATGGCGAAGGTGAGCTGAATCTTAATACAGTGGATATAAAATTGCAACAATGAGGCACCGAAGGCAAAACAGCCTGAGAGCTGAAACAAATTTACTACAATCTCCATCTCTCTTGTTTAACTCTCATCTCATTTGACTACAGTGCCAGCTTGGCTTCCGAAAGGCCTTTGTGTACCTTTTCTATACACAGATATTTTTCTTTTTCTTAGAGTCTTAAGAAGCATCAACCCCAAATGAGGTTGATGGAGAATATGGGAGGAGGTATTCCTCCTTTAAGGTGAAAATGCAAAATTTTTAGTTGATAAAAGTATCTGAGCTTGCTAAAGAACTTTTAAACTTTATTGTCAAAATTTGTATTTAGAAACATCAATGAAAAATCATGTTTATTTTATAATTCATCACAGATTTATACTAGATAAAAGTTTTAAATGATATGCCAATAGGTCAAATATCTTAGAGAGCATAGGAGTTATTTATTGCAAAGAAGTATCATTTTAAGATTAGAAGCACCCTAGTAAGTTGCAATGGACAAGAAAATATGTACTTGGTAGAGAATTTTATCAAAAAGTATTATTATAATAGATGAAATGTTTATATCAGAGAAAGAATATGTAAGGTAACAAAGCTGTCTTAATAGCAAAAATTTTGTAGCAAAGTAGTGAGAACTCAATGCATTACATGATAACTTGTTATTGTTTAACAGAGATTAGACATTGAAAAATTTGCTAATCTATTTGCTAATCTGTTTTCTCACTTTATTCCCTCATTAACAATAAATAGCTTTGTAGCTTCCAGAAGAACAAAAATAAAGAATGTAGCCAAGACCACTGCTGAGGGCTAACAATTTCATGGCAGCAGCAGCTAAATTCAATCAACATTTAAATCTATAGGCATCTGCTGCTCCAGTTCAAAATATTAACCCATTGTTAGATTTCCCCCACATTGCTGACTAACATCATCCGTGATTCAGAACTGAAAAAGAAATCCCTCATTGACAGATACTTTCCTAGTTGTTCCATTGTTTTGAGTAATGTTTGAGTATGTTGTAATTTTACTTATAAAAGGAAAACTCATCATTCATAGTAAAGAACAACTCAATCTTAGCATATTCTAAGAGGAATAGCAGGTGAATAGAATACAATGTTTGAATATTCCATTCATCCATCCATCCTAACCAATATTTATTGAGTGCCATCTATGTATCAGGCACTCTGTTAGGTGTTAGGACTCAAAGAAGGGAAGGAGTTAAGATGTTTGGTAGACTTACCTTATGTTAGCCACTGTAGGTGCTTTCAAACACAGTCCCTGGCCTCAAGAAGTTCAAAACCTAATTAGAAAGATAAAAATCAGAATTCATTTAAAAAATATTTCAAACCCTGAATTATCTTCAAAATATGGTATTTCTGCCATCCCTTTTTTAGGGGGATTGAAACAGAGAGGAGAAAGAGCAAGAGGGTTAATGAGAAGCCAGTATCAATTTTATGTGATATAATCTTTAATTGAAACAGTGAAATGCCAAAAATCAACATGGAAATTTCTTTTGTTGCTGTAAAGCAGTAAATATTGATTATTCCTTAAAATTTTTAACTCAGACTATCATGTCTAACATAAAATGATTAAATTGTCCTCTTACTCCACCTATTTCATCAAGGCTACACAATGCCTTAGTTGGTTGCTTTCTGAGATTACACAATGCATTTCCAAATTCTCATCATTTGGACTTTATGGAGCTAGATGCCCCCTAAGTTGTTAAGGGGATCATTTAAACCCTGGTGGCCAAGCTAAAGCAAATCCTTGTCTGTTATATTCATCCTGGGACTAGCTAGCATGGAAGAACTCTAAATTTATAAGCATTACATTCATGTAAAAGAATCTCATTACTAATTTTTTTTAAAATCCACATCTCTAAAACATAGAAAAAGGCACTTTGTCTTAATTCCTTAATAGAATCATTTTATAAAGTCTAAAATCTATCTTGATTCAGGCTTTCAGAATTTTTTCCTTCTGTCTAGACCACTTCCTTCTCAAGGGTTTTTCACACCTTCAACTCTTATTTCTCTTTCAATTCCCAAGGAAGTGGTTATCTCATGCAGAAAGCCTTCCTTGACATCCTGCCCCCTCCAAGTTTGACTTAGATGTATCTCCCAGATGACCCAATAGCTCTGTGCTCTTCCTTATCACAGTTCATCACATTACCTTGTATTACAGAAACTGGCTACTTGTTCACCAAACTAGTTCCCTTTTCCTCCTGTTACAGAGCCAGACTACATTTTGCAGAGAGATGTGGGCATGTGACTGAATTCTTCACAGTGGAATATGGCTAGATCCAAATAGTGCCACTATCAGGCCTGGCCTTAAAACCATCTCATACATGATCCTTTGTTCTACATTCCCTCACTACAGGTAGAATCTCTGAGGACCTAGAAGAGGAAAGATGTATAAGACAGAAAGAGCATGGTCCTACAGCCACAGCTTTCAGCATTACCCTCAACCCCACTAATAGAGTCTATTCATACTAGAGTGTTACATAGATGACCATCCTTCATCCCACCCTGACTAGGAACATCTATTGACACTGGAGTTTTATGTAAATGAGAGTTAAATTTCAGTTCTTTATGCCATTAAAATATTGGGTGTTTGGGGCCAGCCCCTTGGCATAGTGGTTAAGTTTGGTGCACTCCACTGTAGAGGCCCAAGTTCATGGGTTCAGATCCCAGGCGTGGACCTACATCACTTATCGGCCATTCTGTGGCAGACACCCACATATAGAGTGGAGGAAGATTGGTACAGATGTTAGCTCAGGGCTAATCTTCCTCAGGAAAAAAAAAAGAATGGGTGTTTGTTACAGCACTTAGCCTACCCAGACTAGGATTGTTCCATCTGTTTGATCTCCTCCACTAGGTTGTAAATTTCAGTACTCCCACAGCGACTGGTTTTGTTTTGTTGTGGCTTTTAGCCAAGCCCCTGACATAGTATATGGCACTTAATGACCATCTCTCTATATTTCTTAATAACTTGAATTTTATGTGATAAAATGTACCATGAAAATTTCACAGAAAATGTTATTCTAAATACACTTATTCTTTGGGGGGAAATGCAAGGCTTCATCTAGCACATGCTTCAAAATACTTTTTGGCAAATACCTTAAAGGTAAAATCTGATTTTGCTTAGAAGTTCAAAGCAAGTGGAAACATTGAAACATTTTTGCAAAAATGTGTTTGTAGGCATCTATTTGTGGTTTTTGGTAAGACGGTGAGATCATTGCAAAACCTTAGTCAGAGGTAACACACTCAAAAGCTCCTTGCTGCATCTGCTGTGATTTGGAAGGTCCTTCGAACTTCCACTGGGGGTTGAGTGGCAAAGAAGAGAAAATGAAAGGTAATTTTCTTTCCTTTTCAAAACAATAACCAATCACAGAACCCAAGACCTTCTGCTCTTCTCATAGTACAATGAAATAACTTTTGAAGTTTAGTCAAAAATGGAGACAAGCAATATCAAATCTCAGTCAGCATGCATTCCTGTATTTATTGCCAACACCTTTCTCTCTCCTTCCTCCTACAGCCAAAAACACTGTGTGCACTGACTCCTTTTGGGCAACCACCTGTTTGAGGCCACTTCCAAAAGGTCTCTTCATAAATCTCACCCATCTGTCTCTTTACGATCATCCACTTGCTAGTTAAATTTAGTCCTGTTTGGCAGAACTTAACTTTCAAACACAAACTTCCTTTACTTTGAGCCCTATTTAAGTAAGGAAAACATAGTGGAGATGGTCAGATCTCCTTGCTTCTTTTCTGAAGAACAAAGAGGAAGCTTTTTCTGCCAGACGTGCAACTTGCTTTTATCCCGAAGTAAAAATCCTCAAGCTCTGTGCCACAACTCATTTATAATATTGCTGAACAGCACCTTTAGGCTAGATTTTATGGTAGCTTTAAAAATTTGTAGTTCACTCACATCCATGTTAATACATAATTTACCCTGGTAAGGCACCTGTCTCTTTAGTGTCAGGCAAAGGCACATTGGATTTGCCAGTTGAAGCCATGTCTTCAAGTTTTCATAGACATGAAGACAACTCTTCTGCTTCTCAGATCGTCTCAGCACTACTTTTCCTTTCTGACTACAAATATCAACCCAATGACCTGTTGATGTAGCAGAGGAGACAATAGAAAGTATTTAAAATCAACCTGAAATAGAAAGAATTCAATTCTTTCTAAGTCATGCTTCATGTTTAGGTCAACTGAGCTTCCTACAGTGGTCAGAGTGCAAATTCTTAATGTCTCAATTTTGTTTTCTCTTCTGAAGATCGAGGAAAAAACAGGATCATAACTTCTCATAAGCAGGAGAAAATGGAATTTCAGCAATTGATTTAGCCAAGGAAGCAGCACACTCCAGCTCATAGAACATTCCTGATGTGGGTAAGAGAATGAAACAAATAAGAAGGGAACTGGTGCAATGGGACAGGTTCTTTCATTTCCATGCTTTCTGCCAAAGTTTTGACTAATTGTTGTGGTTGAGGAAACTGTAAGAGCGACAGTCAATAACTTTCCAGAGCAGAACTGTCCATGGTGAGGTATGATCTGGCCTGATGCAGCTGTAGTATTTCCAGATGTGCATGGAAAATGGTTCTAAGAAGTTTTGAAGCTTTCCATTTACTTTGGTCATAAACTCAATTTTTTTTTTTTACCCACAGAAGTAACAAACATCTCATAAACAGCCCTTCATTTAGTGTGTTTTACGTCAGAAGAATACCATCTATTTTATTTTTTAAATAGAGTTAGCTAGAGTCAAATCATGTATATTTCACATTTTGACCCATAAAAAATACTTTGGACTTCCTCACTATAGTTTTTTATCTTTGCTGTATGGTAACCCTTCTGTTATAATGTAAAAATTCCAAGTTTCATTAATGACTCATGACTCTATTAAATGTAATAGGCATATTTTAATTAAAACATTTCAAACCTAAAAAAAGATATTTCAACAGAAAGCTGGAATTTAATTTATACGTATAGTGTGATGCTTTTTACAACTTTATTTAAATTACAAAAAAATTTACTTCATATAAAGTTTCTTTCTGCTGCTAACCCTATTCTAAAGCACCAAAAAAAAAAAAAAAAAATCTGATTATCAAAATAGCAGGTCGTTTTAAATCAGATTCTACATTAGCACAAGCAACTATGACCCCGTAAAGTGGTTTAAAATTACGTATTAAAGAGACTTCATTAGGAGGCTTTCATTCGCTTTTATTTAGAATTGTTTGCACATGTTTTTCTTTAGTCATTGTTCTCATGTTTCCATAGATTCAGGTTTATACTAGACAAGCAATGGTAGGTAAGCAAACATCCAGGAAAAAATAAAAATATGAAATACCTAAAGGTATCTGTTTTGCAAAATCATCAAGTCCTCATTTCATGTGTAGGTTTTCCAGTAGGAAACCAGGATGGATGAGGAAGAAAGTAGATTTTTAAGTTTTGTTCTGCCAAACATGTTAGACCCCTTAAGCGACATCTTTGCTCCTTTCGTCCTTCCTTCTTCCTTCCTCCCCTTCTTCCTCCCTCTTCCACCCTTCTCCCTCTCTCTATATATTTGTTTCCTTTTTTTTGTTCCTTCTCTAACATTGTTCTTTTTCTCTCCCTTAAGTAGAATGAGTCTTTCGGAGTTTTATTAACTGAACAACAACAATAACAAATCCTACCTTAAACCATATTGCAGCTGACACAGAAACGTAGGAAAAATAGTCTACAATGATGAAGGTTACTGGAGTATAAGATTGTCATCACACATCTGGAAAAGGATATACAAACTGGGATATCAGTTGTGCCTCTCATCGCTAAAGAATGAGGATTTATGGGGTCTTTATTTTGGATTGTGCGTATATTTCCACAGGGTCTCTTTAAAAAAACAAGCAGGACTTCTTGGAAACCCATGTACCTTTTAAATATTTTTTATAAAGTCAAAGTACAGAACACTTATAGAAAAGTGCATAGACAATGAATCACACAAAAGCAAACACCAGGGCAACCACCACCCAGGTCAAAATATAGAACATTTCTAGTGTTACAGAAACCTCAAGCTCCCTCCCAATTCCATTCCTCCCTCTTTGTCAAAGGTAAACAGACATTATCTTGATTTCTAGCCCTATAGTTATAGCTGCCTTGAACATTATATAAATATAATCACAATTACGTATTACTTCGTGTCTGGCTTCTTTACTTCACATTATACTTCTTGGTTTCATTTATGTGGCAATTTATCAAATATCATATGAATATACCTCACATTATATATCCATTCTATTGCTGATGGACATTGGGTCATATTCAGTTTAGA